AAGGAAGGAAGGAAGGAAGGAAGGAAGGAAGGAAGGAAGGAAGGAAGGAAAAGAGGGAGGGAGGGAAGGAGGGAAGGAAGGATAGACTTTGTGGGAGGCACTGGACTATCAGACTGACCTTAACAAGCCAGGTGTGGTGGCTCACACTTGTAATCCCAGTACTGTGGGTGGCCAAAGTGGGCAGATCACCTGAGGTTGGGAGTTCGAGACCGGCCTGACCAACATGGAGAAACCCCGTCTCTACTAAAAATACAAAATTAACTGGGCGTGGTGGCACATGCGTGCAATCCTAGCTACTCAGGAGACTGAGGCAGAAGAATCTCTTGAACCTGGGATGCGGAGGTTGCGGTGAGCTGAGATTGCACCATTGCACTCCAGCCTGGGTGACAAGTCCAAAACTCCGTCTCAAAAAAACAAAAAAGACCTTAACAAAATTGTGGCATTTCTTCCCTGGAGATCTGAAAGAGCAGAACACAGCAGCATTCAAAGAAGAATGCTGAGAACAAGGGAGATAATGGTTTCATGGTAATCACAAAAGTAACACAGCATTTAGTACTGTGTTCCATGTTTGAGGAAGAACCTGGAAGCCATATTACATGAAAAACCTGGGAATGTTTAGGTTGAAGAGAATAACTGTGTTCAAATGTGTAACAGAGGGACTAGATTCACCACTTACTAATTACTGCAGAATGAACTGAGAAAAATAGATAGTATTAGAGGGGGACCAATTTCATACAGCACAAGGAAGAACCAGTCAGCAAGCATTGCCATTCAAAGATAAAATGGACTATTCTTGTGGGAGTGAGCTCCCTACCTCTGAGAGTATTCAAGCAGAGCTAAGATGACCTCCTGGTAGGAAACCTGCCTATGGTGGGAGGATGTGTGCGATATGACACTTCCATCTGAAAGAGTCTATACTGAGGACAGGCTGGAGTCACACAGTGGAATAAGCCAGGCCACCCTCCAATCTGCCACCTGTGATTTAATTTCACAGTCGCAGACGTGTAATGCCACAAATGGATGGCATGTCACCCGTTGCTCCAAACCCACCTCTAGCAAAGGTCCCAGATCCTTTCTGTCTCTCACAGTCATTATTTCTTCCACTCAGGAATTGCTGTTGCAGAAACTTTCAGCCACATCCATGGCATCTATAATGCCAGCCTCAAGAAATATTTCCTCACCACCTTCTTCCTGTTGAGCTTCGCCATTGGATTTTATCTGCTGCTCAAGGGGCTGGGTGTAGACCTCCTGTGGACTATACAGAAAGCCCAGAGGTGGTGTGAGCGGCCAGAATGGATCCACATCGACACCACGCCCTTTGCCAGCCTCCTCAAGAATGTGGGCACGCTCTTTGGCCTGGGGCTGGCTCTCAACTCCAGCATGTACAGGGAGAGCTGCAAGGGCAAACTCAGCAAGTGGCTCCCATTCCGCCTCAGCTGCATTGCAGCCTCGCTCATCCTCCTGCACCTCTTTGACTCCTTGAAGCCCCCTGCCCAAGTTGAGCTGGTCTTCTACATCTTGTCCTTCTGCAAGAGCGCAGCAGTGCCCCTGGCATCCGTCAGTGTCATCCCCTACTGCCTCGCCCAGGTCCTGGGCCAGCCGCACAAGAAGTCTTTGTAAGGGATGTGGAGTCTTCAGTATTTAAAGTCAACAACTGTGCCAGGGATTGAGGGGAACTAGTATCTGAAGCAATGGCCACCAGTGTTTGGAGCAAGTGACATGCCATCCATTCTGCCATTGTGGAATTAAATCACAGATGGCAGATTGGAGGGTCGCCTGGCTTATTCCCATGTGTGACTCCAGCCTCTTTCAGATGGAAGTGCCATATAACATACGCCCTCCCACCACATGCGAGTTTCCCGCCAGGCCGCCAGGGGTCCTCCCCTCTCTAGTTGAATACTCTCAGAGGTGGGGAGCTCACTCCCACTGGAACAGCCCATTTCATCTTTGAATGGTCTTCTGCCAGCCCATGTTGAGGCCAGAGGTGCTGTCAGCCCAGGTGGTCCTCTCCCCCTTTTACAATTCTAATCATATTGGTGTTGAAAAGCTAATGAAGCTATTGAGAAAGACTCGATACTAGAAGTTGGGTTGTTCTGGATTTTCCCTTGTTCTTTTGTCAGATATACAAAAGCAAGACTTCCAGGTAGGGCCAGCTCATAAGCCCAGGCTGGAGTTCCTAAACGAGAATTTTCTACCTGTGCTCATCTTTACCAAGAAAAGGAGAAAGGAGCACTGAAGCTCAGAGGAAAAAGAAGACGGTATAAGGAGGAGTGTTTAGTATGTGGTGTATCAGGCAAATGCTATGCTAAGCCATGTCTAAATGGCTTTAATTATATAATAATGCACTCTCAGTAACGGGGTGCAGCTGAAGTATAATTAATAGGTGGTTGGTGAGGTCATTCTGCTTCTAGTATTTTTTTACTGTGTGTACATGGTCATCGTATTTCCCTGGATTTCGGAATGGCTGGAGTGACCCAGACATTGTACTAGATCAGAACATTCATGTATAGCTGACATCTCCTCTATCACATCACATATTCTTCCTTATAAGCCCAGCCCTGCTTTTCACAGATTTTTCTACTGGCTCCACATCCACCCTGCTGGATCTTTGGATGGCTAGAGGGCGACTCTGGTGGTGCTTTTGTATGTTTCGATTCAACTCTGAAATCTTGGGCAAAATGACAAGGAGAGGGCCAGGATTCCTCTCTCAGAAGGTCACTCCAGTATAGAGGGTAAATATGACTCCTTTCTCTATTGCAAGCCAACCAAGAGCACATTCTTAGAGGAAAAGTCAATGCCTTCTCTCTCTCTCTTTTTTTTTTTTTTTTTTTTGAGACAGGGTCTCACTATGTTGCTCAGGCTGCTCTGAACCCCTGGGCTCAGGCGATCCTCCCACCATACTATAGCCTCCTGTGTAGCTGGGACTACAGGTGCAAGCCACTATGCCTAGCTAGCCAGCTCCTTCTTGCCTGTTTTTCTTTTCTTTCCTTTTTTTGAGAGGGAGTCTCACTCTATCACCCAGGCTGGAGTGCAGTGGCACGATCTTGGCTCAAGGCAACCTCTTCCTCCCAATTCAAGCGATTCTCATGCCTCAGCCTCCCCAGTAGCTGGAACTACCAATGTGCACCACTATGCCAGGCTAATTTTTATATTTTTAGTATAGATGGGATTTTGTCATGTTGGCCAGGCTGGTCTCAAACTCCTGACCTCAAGTGATCCGCTCGCCTCGGACCCCACAGGGTGCTAGGATTACAGGCGTGAGCCACTGCACCTGGCCCTCCTTGCCTGTTTTTCAATCTCAGCTGATTTGCAGAGTATCAAATTTCAAGGCTGAACACATCAGGCCGTAGACTTAGCTCACAAAACAATTTTTTCCTCCTAGACCTCTGGGCCTGTGATGGGAGGCACTGCCATGCA